TGCTCAATATCCATAGTAATCCTCTCCCTTTCCTTATCAAACTTGTGTATGAGTGTGTGATGAGTCTCAGTGGCTATTTAAGAGTGGACTAGCTTTCCTATTGCTTCTGATGCCACAGCTCATTTCATGGCCTTTCATCTGCTGTTTGTTTGAGAGTGTGTAAAACAGACCTCCCTCTAACAGTCTTTTACCATATCTATGGTATACGTCTGCATGCGTGTGTGTGTGTGTGTGTGTGTTTGCACCATGGCAGAGGCCCTGATGGGTCCCGAGACACGTAGGATGAGTTAGCCTCTGCCCTGGTTTCCATGGCAGCTGCCGGCTTTATTAAACTCTCATTTTAGCTCCCATAAGCACTCAGACACATGTTCACGAGTCCACACAAACTTCCGTCATTGTGCGGCGACGGGGCCCGCTCCGCCACCCCGCCCCGGGGCGCTTACATTTTGGAGCAGTTAAGAAACTTGTCAGGAATGAGAGATGGGCGATGTGTGGCTAAATGAAGCGCAATGGAGAAAACGTCACGCGATTTCACACCCGAGTAGCCTCCGGCTCCCCTCCTGCCTCACACACACACACACACACACACACACACACACACACACCCCACACACTCAAACACACACACACACACATACACACCCACACACAAACACAGGCACAAAGACACACAAACGCAGAGACGGGGTAAGATGAGCTTCAAATGAATGCCATGGTGAACATCAATACACTCAGCCAGCCCGTATCTAGGCCTGGCGAAAACCATTCCCAATCAATATTCCCCAGACCAAACCAATGTCACATTCTGTACAGGACAAGCCAGACTGCATTAGACCGGGTCCAACCAGCATCAGTCATCTCTGAACTAGCCATCCCGCTTTTATGTGGTGAACCATAAGAGCTGCAGAACCTCCTTGATCTGCAGTTTTTGATCTGAAGGATAAATATAACATACAAAAACCTTCAATACTTTCTTTCACAGACTTTGGTCATTTTAAACTACATATTTGGCACTTAGAAAATAACTTTCAGAGTCATGGAGTTGCACGTTTTTAATCACCATGCTTGAAATTATCATTTTTGTGTTGGTCTTAAAAACTGTGCCACCACAGAGCTGGTTGAAGACTTTCTGCTGCATTCTAATTGAGAGAAGTTTCCGTTTTCTGGTCTAAGGAACAGTATTATGTAAAACTGACATTTTTGAACCTAACATCATGTTGAAAAGTTCTTCCCTCATTGAAAACATACCTATTGTGTCTTTCATGCATGTTTAAGAAGTCCTTTAATCTCCATGGCAACCATTCAGCTGTGAAAAACACCTGAGTGGATCTAGCACCGCCTTCGAGGACCAAGCTCCACCTCTGAGCTGCACTTTTCAAACTTCTGCCTCACAGAGCAGCCCTCCCCCTTGTCTCCTCCACTCATCTCCTCCAGACTAGCCAGTAGCAATTAGCAAATACCTGGTGGAACTATTGAGGTACTTCTCAGAGCAACACTGGCAGAGATGTTGTTAAAGGGTTAATAGAGGAGCCATGTTGAGATGACTTCCTAAAGGTGGAGTTTCACAAAGAGCAGGAGTTTCTTAAAGAAACAGATTATAAAGTTTGAAGTCAAATTTCTTTCAAGTCATATTTGATATGAACAGCATTTTTATGACATAATTACTTGATTTTGCTCTAAAATGCCAATATACACCTGGAAAATGCATAATACTTTCCCCTTTGACAGAGATCTTGGCATGCTTGTCTTTTGTTCATTGTGACTACTGAGAAAATAGACTAGATACCAGATTACTTAAAAAATAGGCAAGTGGCAATTATAAAACATTATCAGTCGGCTTATTCTGATAAATATAGAAAATGTCCTTTGAATTTGATTATAATTCATTGCCAGGTTTGCTGCTTTTGAGGTGACTGAATCAATTAGTTGATATTGATGCAACTAATTTTGAGTTGGGTGGAAAGATTTTCGCAGTCTGTGCGCTTTGCTTTGCCGATGTTATGAGGCATGTCTGTTCCCACTATGGCTTGTGAGTCTTACCATCTGGCTGGAACACATTTCCTGTTTGGTGGCAGCAGCCTAGGAATGCTCCAGATTAGATTCTGTACGGAGCAAACTGCTGACCGTGCTGCTCTGTGCTTCCTTTGTCTCTCTTTTGGGAGAAAGTTAATTACCTGTGATCAGAGAGCAGACCGTGGGGTAATGGCAAGGGTCTACGGCTAAGAAACCATTCTATAACTTGGATCATTTCACTGGAAATTGCTATGAGCGAACCCTGTGTATTGGATGGACTTGAGAGAAGTTCTCAGGTTCTTTGAAATTAATCTCTCTGTGAAACACACAAAGCCTGGGATACTGTTCAATAAACTAGCCCTGCTTTATCTGTCTCCACCTGACTTCCCTGCTGTGTTCCTTTGTCTTTGTGATCCTGTTTGATTTCTAAGGTTCTCTAACAAACCTCCGAGGCCCTCACCCAACACCTGTATTTATACTGAGTTGAAACTTTAAATTCTTTTATTTGTGCATGTTTGAATTTTATGCTTTGCTCTTCTGAAACTTTCAGTTTCAAAAATGCTACATCTTTAAAAATGTATCACTTGTTTGTTTTATTTACTTGTTTTATTGTGTCTAGTAAAAGCGGCTCATATTTTTTTTGTAAATATTTGATGCTATCTTTTCACGGGACAGTGCTCAAGATATGACACCTAGATACAAAGCAGTCATATACAGCTGGTATAACAGTGTGCATTTGCGATCCCCTCAAAATCACTCAACACACATTTATGAATATCTAAAGAGCTTGCATCAAAAGTGAATACATCCCTAAGTGAAAATTGTGACTAAAGAGCCAATATTTTGTGTGGCCATTATTCATTTCTGGCACTGCCTCAACCCTCTTGGGCATTGTTCCCACTGAAAACCTCGCCCACTCCTACAGGATGACATCACATATCAGAGCCGACGTTGTTCCAATAGTCCATGTCCTTGTCCTCAACAAACTGAGACATGTAAAATCATTTTCACGCCAGCTCTCTGGTCACTTCAAGCTGTTTTTTTTGTCCCTTAGGCACAAAGATGGTATGATGTTGGATGGTACAGTCTTTTGAAATCAGAAAGACAGTACAAGGTTCCACTTTGCAAATACAGCCCATATAAAATGAATCTATCCCCCGTCTATCAACCTTATTGATGACCCAAGACAATGAGATGAGCTGGAATACAGGAGGGACTGTTGATTAATTAATTTCATTGAAATTTGCATTGATGATGGAGATTGATAGCTTGGAATTAGATTGGCTGGATGATTGTTTTATGAATTCTTTTTAAATGTATACATATATATGTTAGTTATTTATTTGATTGTTTCTTGTGTAGGATGAGTGTTGTGCTTGTTGTTGCAGCTTTGCTCCTGAAAGGGACAGAAAGACTTTTTTGAGTCTTGATTCTTGTAATGTGTAATGAATGTTGCATATGAGCAAAGGGACTCTTGCTTCCTTCCTTCTTTTCCCTCCAACGTATCAGTGATTAAAACCAAAAACCTATCCTTTTCAAGCTATACAAGCAGTTCCATCTGCTCCGGTTGTCTCCTGAAAACTACGGACCCTAACAGCAGTCGATCAGTCTGTCTAAACCTTATCCACCTGTATTTTTTTGCTCACCTCTCCATCTGCTCCCCTCGCCCCCGACCGACACTCACACCTCTACGCTTTTCAAAACCTCCTCACTTCCTCTCCCATCAGACGCCGCTATTCTCATCTGAAAGAGGAGAACGGAACTGGGAAAAATAAGCGTGGGGATGCAAGGACGCGTGGCGGAATGAATACTAAGCACCGATGGGTGTTTAACACAAAGCCCGGCGCAGATGCCTGTGTGCACAGAGGTGTATATGATAACACATCGCTCAGCGGCACATAAGCATGCAGATGTGTACACAAACACACAATCCGCTGGGTATCAGCGGACCGCTTGGTGCAGGATGAATAGAACGCATTTGTACCTGCAGGCTTAAACCGGCAGGATTATGAGGTATACGAGGGGAATGCCAATGGCAGAAGAGAGGCCCGTGACCTTGGATGGAGGAGGAAGAGGGAGTGTGGAGGAGTGGTACATCAGTCAAAACTGTGCCCTGAAAACAATGCGTGGCATGTTTGTTCACGTTGAGACAAACTTTTGAGTTGATGGGGTGTCGCAGAGGGATGGAGGGGACGACTCTAGAGGAATTATATCAGCTTCATGCGTATAGCGTGGTGGTGAATGGTGAGATTATCATCAGTAATCCATTCCAGGTTTTGACTTCACCTTTGTTTACTTGTGAGGACAGGGAGATGGTTTAGTTTCTCTTTTCCCCACTTTGCATGTATATCGCCCAATTGTGTGGAAACAGGGGATGCATCATATACTTTTTACAAGTGCCAAGGCTGAATGCATTATTCATTTTCATTTGGGCCCCTGTAATAGGGTGAGTCCTTCTATGTTTGTGTGTGTGTGTGTGTGTGTGTGTGTGTGTGTGTGGGTGTGTGTGTGTGGGTGTGTGTGTGTGTGTTGGTATATATGGTATGGCCTACCTTTTGACCTGAATACGCACTTACGTTACGCGGACGTAGGGGTAATACAAGGACAGTGCCAATGTCCGCATAAATCAAGGAGTGTATTTTAATTTTTGAATATCTAAACAACACTTTTTCTCATAAATCTAAACTTTTATAGGAACTATTCCATTGTTTGCATGATGTGGACCATTATTTTGTACTTTTCAGTGAATAAACAGCCTGATATCTCACTTTCTTTAATTGTACTCCTATACCATGCAACCTGAATTTTGTGTATTCCAGTGTATAACACAGTGCCAGCTGATTTCAAATTATAGTTTTATCTGAGGTATGTGTTTTGCATGCATAACATGTTTCCATATTTATAATTTAATTTTTAGCTTTTACACTTGTAGGAATTACAAAAAAACCTTCTTTGACTGTTTTAACTTTCATACATGCCAGTAAAACATGCAGAGGCAAAGACGCATAAATCCAAAGGAAGATGCCAAATATTACATTGATACCAAAACGGACAAAGTGGGGCTTGATGTCAAGTACATCAGTGCCTTTAAAGGTATGGGGATTTTTTTGGGGGTGGTTTAATTACAGTCAAGACTTTATACATTGTTTACTTTTTATACAATTATTTTGTTTTCTTTGTTAGGCCGTGGTATCTTTGCCACAACCTCTTTTCAGAAAGGAGACTTTCTGTGTGAGTATCGAGGGGAACTGATCAGTAAAGAGGAATGTGAGAGGAGACAGAAAGTTTACCATGACAACCTTAAAGTGTTTTTGTTTGAATTCTACTTTAATGGAAAACTCTGGTGGTGAGTATGTTTGTATTAGAAGTCTAATTAGAACTAAAGGCAATATATATATAAATGAAAATTTTATTATTGAAATTAAATGTTATGTATTTGCAGTGTTGATGCAGCAAAAGAAGATTTCTCCTTTGGAAGGCTTATAAATGATGACAATATCAGCCCAAATGCCAAAATGAAGTATCTGACTGTGCAACAGAAGCCACATTTGTGCTTATTTGCAACTCGAGATATTAATCACGGAGAAGAGATTACATACAATTATGGGGACTCAGACTGGCCATGGCGACTCAAGGTAATAAAAAATTAAAATTTATTAATCTTAAGGCAAAGTTCATTTAAGAAATGCACCTATAATTGTAATTTACAATGTGAATTTTTTTGTTTTACCATTCTTTTCACAACAATAGATGGCTGACTGTACAAAACATTACTGGAAAAATTAACCAGTTGCCTACAAATGTATAATAAATAATTATAATATGATAGTATACAAAGCAGTATTTTACTTATTCTCAAAATGTTGTTACATCTACTTTTTACATAAAATTCAACAGAACTCGAGTGGTATGTCTTCAACTGGGCAAGATGTTGAGGAGCCATCCACATCACAGTTAGTTTCAAACAATGGAGTGTTATCAAACAAAGACCAAATAAAGGTGTGTGCAAATATTATTGAAAGCTTTAATAAGATACAATCTGAATATAGATTAAAATATCTCTGTGAATTAGTCTAGGGCAGTATGGTGTTGACTTGTATTTCTGTTTCAGATCAGACCTGAAAATGACCAGGATCGGATGACAACCGGTGTCCCAAATGAGGCAAATCCAATCCTGGATTCACTCCCCATCAATTCACAGGTATTTTATGTTTAAGGTGCAGCGAGATGATGTCAGTCAGCCAACCTGTTCAAATTCTGTGTGTCTGTGTGTGGACATGAATGCCATGTGGTTTATCTGGACATTGGTTTGTAAGGACAGTCTCATGTGATGGTTTTCAATTTATAAGCTCAACGTGTGTATGTGTGTGTTTCATGGTCTCTTGCCCCAATATGATACAGGAGGACCATATTGTATATGGGGACCATGCGTTATTGAAATGACAAACACATATGCTTTGGTTCTTGTGACCTTGTGAATATTGGTTTGACAACGAATAAATGTTGACTTGACATCACATAATATATTGGGAGAAGAAAGATTTTAATTTCTTAAACATGAAAGAAAATATCTTTCATTTTGGTGATTTTAATCTAAAAATCAGTCTTCAATTTGGTCAGTGCTAGTGAAATTCTAATTTTTAACTTGTTTGTTAGCGTTCATCTTGCAGACAGTTTCCAGAATTCAAAACACTAGGGTGAACAACCAAACTATTTTGTCTTCTACATCAGCAAATCTGTTGTTGGGGATTATACAATCAATCTTTCCTCTTTTACACAGGTGTTGGAGAAAGAAATATCTCAAAGTCCGGATTGTACTCATTCAATGTCTACAGCTGGCAACACAGAACAGGTACAGAAGTTGGGTTTTCATTTTAAATTTATCAAACATTTTGGCTGGATTTAAATCTAGTTTTCTTCCATGAGTACTGGCTGTCATAGAGCACAATCATTTAAGAGAAGATATGTCTGTGATTTAGTCAAGGGCAGTATGGTGTTGACTTGAATTCATTTTCTGTTTCAGATCAGACCTGAAAATGACCAGGATGAGATGTCAACAAGTGTCCCAAATGAGACAGATCCAGTTCTGGATTCACTCCCCATTAATTCAGAGGTATTTTATGTATAAGATGCAGCTAAATGATGTCTGCCACCCAACCTGTTCAAATTCAGTGTGTCTGTGTGTGGATATGAATGTCATGTGGTTTATCTGGACATTGGTTTGTAAGGACAGTCTCATGTGATGGTTTTCAATTTATAAGCTCAACGTGTGTATGTGTGTTTCATGGTCTCTTGCCCCAATATGATACAGGAGGACCATATTGCATATGGGGACCATGCGTTATTGAAATGACAAACACATATGTTTTGGTTCTTGTGAACTTGTGAATATTGGTTTGACAACGGATAAATGTTGACTTGACATCACATAATATATTGGGAGAAGAAAGATTTTAATTTCTTAAAGGTGAAAGAAAATATCTTTCATTTTGGTGATTTTAATCTAACAATCAGTCTTCAATTTGGTCAGTGCTGGTGAAATTCAAATTTTCAACTTGTTTGTTAGCGTTCATCTTGCATACAGTTTCCAGAATTCAAAACAATAGGGTGAACAACCAAATTATTTTGTCTTCTACATCAGCAAATCTTCTGTTGGGGATAATACAATCAATCTTTCCTCTTTTTCACAGGTGTTGGAGAAAGAAATGTCTCAAAGTCCAGACTGTGCTCATTCAATGTCTACAGTTGGCAACACAGAACAGGTACAGAAGTTGGGTTTTCATTTTGAATTTACCAAACATTTTGGCTGAATTTAAATCTAGTTTCCTTCCATGGGTACTAGATGTCATAGAGCACAATCATTTAAGAGAAGATATGTCTGTGATTTAGTCAAGGGCAGTATGGTGTTGACTTGAATTCATTTTCTGTTTCAGATCAGACCTGAAAATGACCAGGATGAGATGTCAACAAGTGTCCCAAATGAGACAGATCCAGTCCTGAATTCATTCCCCATCAATTCAGAGGTATTTTATGTGTAGGTGCAACTTAATGTCTGTCACCCAAGACACAACTTCAGTGTGTCTGTGTGTGGATATGAATGTCGTGTGGTTTATCTGGACATTGGTATATAAGGACAGTCTTATATGATGGGTTTTCAGTTTGTAAGCTCAGTGTATGTTTGTGTGTGTTTCATGGTCACCTGCCCCAATGTGATACAGGAGGACAATACTGTACATGGGGACCTTGCGTTATTGCATTGATATAAACATACTTTTTTGTTGTTGTGACCTTGTGAATATCAATCTTACCTCCGATAAATGTTGACTTGGCATGACGGAATATATCGGGAGAGTAAATATTAAAATTTCTTAAAGCTTAAAAAATGCAGACATTTTTGGTGAAATTTCTTTTAATTTTACAACACAATCAGATTGCAGTTTGGTCAGTTGGGTTGAAATTGCAGTATTTCGATTATTTGTTAATGTTTGCGGTCAATGTCTTTTAACATTCATCTTTTAGGGTGCTTGAAGCATTCAAAACACTTGGGTTAACCAGAAATTATTTTGTCTTCTACATCAGCAAATCTTCTGTTGGGGAAAATACAATCAATCTTTCCTCTTTTTCACAGGTGTTGGAGAAAGAAATATCTCAAAGTCCGGATTGTACTCATTCAATGTCTACAGCTGGCAACACAGAACAGGTACAGAAGTTGGGTTCTCATTTTGAATTTACCAAACATTTTGGATGGATTTTCATCTAGTTTCCTTCCATGGGTGCTGGCTGTCATAGAGCACAATCATTTAAGTGAACATATGTCTGTGATTTAGTCAAGGGCAGTATGGTGTTGACTTGAATTTATTTTCTGTTTCAGATCAGACCTGAAAATGACCAGGATGAGATGTCAACAAGTGTCCCAAATGAGACAGATCCAGTCCTGGATTCACTTCCCATTAATTCACAGGTATTTCATGTATAAGATGCATCTAAATGATGTCTGCCACCCAACCTGTTCAAATTCTGTGTGTCTGTGTGTGGATATGAATGTCATGTGGTTTATCTGGACACTGGTTTGTAAGGACAGTCTCATGTGATGGTTTTCAATTTATAAGCTCAACGTGTGTATGTGTGTGTTTCATGGTCTCTTGCCCCAATATGATACAGGAGGACCATATTGTATATGGGGACCATGCGTTATTGAAATGACAAACACATATGCTTTGGTTCTTGTGACCTTGTGAATATTGGTTTGACAACTGATAAATGTTGACTTGACATCACATAATATATTGGGAGAAAAAAGATTTTAATTTCTTAAAGGTGAAAGAAAATGTCTTTCATTTTGGTGATTTTAATCTAACAATCAGTCATCAATTTGGTCAGTGCTGGTGAAATTCTAATTTTCAACTTGTTTGTTAGCGTTCATCTTGCATACAGTTTCCAGAATTCAAAATAATAGGGTGAACAACCAAATTATTTTGTCTTCTACATCAGCAAATCTTCTGTTGGGGATAATACAATCAATCTTTCCTCTTTTTCACAGGTGTTGGAGAAAGAAATGTCTCAAAGTCCGGATTGTACTCATTCAATGTCTACAGCTGGCAACACAGAACAGGTACAGAAGTTGGGTTCTCATTTTGAATTTACCAAACATTTTGGCTGGATTTAAATCTAGTTTCCTTACATGAGTACTGGCTGTCATAGAGCACAATCATTTAAGAGAAGATATGTCTGTGATTTAGTCAAGGGCAGTATGGTTTTGACTTGAATTCATTTTCTGTTTCAGATCAGACCTGAAAATGACCAGGATGAGATGTCAACAAGTGTCCCAAATGAGACAGATACAGTCCTGGATTCACTCCCCATTAATTTAGAGGTATTTCATTTATAAGATGCAGCTAAATGATGTCTGCCACCCAACCTGTTCAACTTCAGTGTGTCTGTGTGTGGATATGAATGTCATGTGGTTTATCTGGACATTGCTTCGTAAGGACAGTCTCATGTGATGGTTTTCAGATTGTAAGCTTAACATGTGTATGTGTGTGTTTCACGGTCACCTGCCCCAATGTGGTACAGGAGGGCCATATTGTATTTGGGGACCTTGCGTTATTGAATTGATAAAAACATGTTTTTTGGTTCTTGTTACCTTCTGAATATCAATATGACCTCTGATAAATGCTGTCTTGACATGGCAGAATATATTTGGAGAGTAAATATTTAGTTTTGTTAAAGTTTAAAGAAATGCATACATTTTTGATGAAATTTCTTTTAATTTCACAACACAATCAGATTTAAATATTTTCGGTTGAGGTGAAATTGTAGTAGTTTGATTTGTTATGGTTTGCAGTCATTCAATGTTTTTAACTTTCATCTTTTTATTCCGTTTCTAGGATTCAAAACAGTAGGGTTGGCCACCAAATTATTTTGTCTTCTACATCAGCAAATCTTCTGTGGGGATAAAACAATCAATCTTTCCTCTTTTTCACAGAAATTGGAGGAAGAAATGTCTCAAAGTCCGGACTGTACTCACACAACTTCTAAAGTTGGAAACACAGAACAGGTACAGAAGTTGGGTTTTCATTTTGAATTTACCAAACATTTTGGCTGGATTTAAATCTAGTTTCCTTCCATGAGTACTGGCTGTCATAGAGCACAATCATTTAAGTGAAGATATCTCTTTGAATTAGTCACGGGCAGTATGGTGTTGACTTGAATTTATTTTCTGTTTCAGATCAGACCTGAAAATGACCAGGATGAGATGTCAACAAGTGTCCCAAATGAGACAGATCCAGTCCTGGATTCACTCCCCATTAATTCACAGGTATTTCATGTATAAGATGCATCTAAATGATGTCAGTCAGCCAACCTGTTCAAATTCTGTGTGTCTGTGTGTGGACATGAATGCCATGTGGTTTATCTGGACATTGGTTTGTAAGGACAGTCTCATGTGATGGTTTTCAATTTATAAGCTCAACGTGTGTATGTGTGTGTTTCATGGTCTCTTGCCCCAATATGATACAGGAGGACCATATTGTATATGGGGACCATGCGTTATTGAAATGACAAACACATATGCTTTGGTTCTTGTGACCTTGTGAATATTAGTTTGACAACGGATAAATGTTGACTTGACATCACATAATATATTGGGAGAAGAAAGATTTTAATTTCTTAAAGGTGAAAGAAAATATCTTTCATTTTGGTGATTTTAATCTAACAATAAGTCTTCAATTTGGTCAGTGCTGGTGAAATTCAAATTTTCAACTTGTTTGTTAGCGTTCATCTTGCATACAGTTTCCAGAATTCAAAACACTAGGGTGAACAACCAAACTATTTTGTCTTCTACATCAGCAAATCTGTTGTTGGGGATAATACAATCAATCTTTCCTCTTTTTCACAGGGGTTGGAGAAAGAAATGTCTCAAAGTCCTGACTGTACTCATTCAATGTCTACAGCTGGCAACACAGAACAGGTACAGAAGTTGGGTTCTCATTTTGAATTTACCAAACATTTTGAATGGATTTAAATCTAGTTTCCTTCCATGCTGGCTGTGATAGAGCATAATCATTTAAGTGAATATATCGCTGTGAATTAGTCAAGGGCAATATGGTGTTGATGTGTATTCATTTTCTGTTTCAGATCAGACCTGAAAACGACCAGGATCAGATGTCAACCGGTGTCCGAAATGAGACAGATCCAGTCCTGGCTTCACTCCCCATCAATTCAGAGGTATCTTATGTTTAAGGTGCAGCGAGATGATGTCAGTCAGCCAACCTGTTCAATTTCAGTGTGTCTGTGTGTGTACCCGAATGCAATATGGTTTATCTGGACATTGGTTCGCAATGACAGTTTCGTGTGATGGTTTTCAGGTTGTAAGCTCAGTGTGTGTATGTGTGTGTTTCATGGTTACCTGTCCCAATGTGACACAGGAGGACAATATTGTATATAGGGACCTTGCGTTATTGCATTGATAAAAACATATGTTTCGGTTCTTGTGACTTTGTGAATAGTGGTTTGACCTCTGATAAATGTTGACTTGGCATCACTTAATACACTGGGAGAGAAAAGGAGATTTTGTTTCAATTTTATCATTGTTAAAATGTATATATGTATGTGTTCAGTCTATTCCCTCACCTGTATAATTAGGTGAGCGACTATATGTGGTATGTGTTGTAGTGATCTTCACCACCATTCGCTCTGAACCAGCACTAGGCAGCAGCTCCGCAAGGAGAAAAGACTACCGTACTCTTGGCATTGCGCTGGTAATTTTAAGGATGCTTATTGGTCCCCCAAAAAATGACAAAAATCCGGACATTATCATTATTCAAAATTCTCCCAGACCGAACTTGAAATTGGACCTTATGCTGCTGACAGTTAGCTTTCGTCAACAACTTAGGCGGAAGTGAGAAAGCTATACAATGCAAGTAATAACCCTGGCAGAACACGATGTGCTAAATAGTAAAACATAAATTAACAAAGGTTTGAGGCAGAGAAATTTTCCTCAAGGAATTTTAATAATGGAGGTACCCGAATCACTCCCGGGATAATTTCAGCCATAATATGTGTGTATGTGTAAAAATAAATATATATACATACATTCACTGCGTGGCCAAAATAAAAGTCGCCACCCAAAAATGGTCACACTCGCTAATATTTCGTTGGACCGCCTTTAGCTTTGATCACAGCCCGCATTCGCTGTGGCATTGTTTCAATAAGCTTCTGCAGTGTCACAAGATTTATTTCCATCCAGTGTTGCATTGATTTTTCACCAAGATCTTGTATTGATGATTGGAGAGTCTGACCACTGCGCACAGCCTTCTCCAGCACATCCCAAAGATTCTCAATGGGGTTAAGGTCTGGACTCTGTGGTGGCCAATCCATGTGTGAAAAAGATGGTGACTTTCAAAGAGTGCTCCCTGAACCACTCTTTCACAATTTGAGCCCGATAAATCCTGGCATTGTCATCTTGGAATATGCCCGTTCCATTTGGGAAGAAAAAAATCTATTGATGGAATAACCTGGTCATTCAGTATATTCAGGTAGTCAGCTGACCTCATTCTTTGGGCACAAAATGTTGCTGAACCTAGACCTGACCAACTGCAGCAACCCCAGATCATAGCACTGCCCACAGGCTTGTACAGTAGGAACTAGGCATGATGGGTACATCACTTCAACTGCCTCTCTTCTTACCCTGATGTGCCTATCACTCTGGAACAGGGTAAATCTGAACTCATCAGACCACATGACCATCTTCCCTTCCTCCAGAGTCCAATCTTTATGCTCCCTAGCAAATTTAAGCCTTTTTTCTGGTTAGCCTTACTGATTAGAGGTTTTCTTACAGCTACACAGCTGTTCAATCCCAACCCCTTGAGTTTCCTTCGCATTGTGCGTGTGGAAATTCTTTTTTTTAATGTGTTTAAACATGTGTTTAATTTATTCCTTGTAGTGTCAAAGACATCACCTGAAGTGCACAACAGTATCCTCTCTGGAGAAGTGTACTCAGTGTTTTGGACCTTGTTCTTCATTCAAGTGGGTTGGCTACCAGTGCAAAGGTAAGATATTTAGTGAATTTGTACCGTGAATTAATCAACTGAATAGGACGTATGTTTTTGTTGAATTGTTGACCACGGACAAATTATAGTTTCAGAATTGAGTATACAATGCAATTGATGTCATCATGGTGACTTTCAAAGCAGTGAAAGTTTTCAAAGTACCTTTAAACCTTTACCCTTGATCTTTATTTAAAACAGAACGTAAAATTTTATCCAGAAAATTCAATTTTGCACATTTGAAAAAAGATCGTTTTTAATCCATATTTAACTTTTCAATCTGATCTTAAAGTAAGGTGTAATGGTTTATGTGAGATTTTGGATTTCATTTATCTTCTGTTTTTTTTTTACATTTAAATTTTTCAACAGGTTGTTCAAAAGTCTGGCATTCATACTGCCTTAAACAAATTACGAAGGATGACAGATCCCAGGTTAATATCCACATATGTCTTTGTGAGCTTTATCTTCAAAGTTTCTATAATAACATAAATTATATTTCCCACAATTTCAGGCAAAAGAACTTTTTAAATATTGCACAGCTGACCTCTCATCAGATAGCAACACATCACCTTCCAAACAATGTGAAATGTCAGATGAAGACCATGCATCTGATATCGACTACGTACCAAATTCAGAATCTGCAGAATCTGATGAAGACTCAGATGTTAGCATCCCCCTTCAGCCCATCAAGTGTAAAGTTGGACAAATTCAAGAAAACCCAACAATACCCAATCTCACTTCATTCTTGCCAGACTCAAGTTCTGTGGTGGAACCTGACACATCAAATTACTGGCCTCCTTTTCAAATAGATGATATGGATGATGGCACACTCAAAACATTCAGCCCAGCCAAAGCCTCAAAAAATAAACGAAAAAGTCAAACGAAGCCCAACAAACAGGAATCTTCTCTGATTACTATGAGTGTTAAGAACTACTGCTTTGTATGTGGTAGACCACAGAGCAAAATTTCACGGCATTTAAAAACCCACAAGACACATGCTGAAATTGCTTATGCTTTTTCCCTTCCGGAAGACTCAAAAGAGCGCAATGTTCTTCTAGAAAAAATGAGAAACAAGGGGAACTTCAAACATAACTCTGAGGTTCTACAAAGTGGGAAAGGATCGTTGAAAGTTAAGAGAAAGCCGAAAGCAAAGACTGGAACATTTATACATTGCATGTATTGCCAAGGTATGTACATTCGAAAGGAACTATGGAGACATGTCCGAAGATGCCCCTGTAAGCCACAAAATGAAGATTTGAACCAAGGACATGGACGAACCAAAGTACTGGGTTTTGCTATGGCTCAAGAGTCTTCGTTCTGTCAGGAGATTTCAAGTGGGGTTTGGAAGCTCCTTGGTCCCATGAAACAGGATGATGTAGCCACCATTGTGAGAAATGACCTGACCATTATTCAGTTTGCCCAGTCTCTCTACAACAGACACGGACAAGACCCTACCAAGTATGAATATATCCGACAGAAGCTCCGTGAAATTGGACGTCTGTTAAAATGTCTGCGGTCTGAATTCTCTGTTCATAACTTGGAGGAAGCTGTGAAACCTGCTAACTTCCAAAAAGTTGTCCAGGCAGTGAAGATTGTCTGTGGTTTTGATGAAGAAAAGTATTCATACCAAACACCAAGTCTTGCACTAAAACTGGGACATACACTACATAAAATCAGTGACATTATCCATTGCCGAGCACTCATGGCAGAAGATGAAGAACTGATTAAGTCAACAGACACTTTCAAAAAGCTGTATACATCCAAGTGGTCTGAGCTAGTGTCACATACTGCCTTGAACACTCTGAGCCATGCCAAATATAATAAGCCATTAACCTTACCATTCACAGAAGATGTTCAGAGTCTTCATAGGCATCTTAAGAAATCTGGCGAAAATGCATTTTCTAACTTGAAAGACGAGGTCAGCCCCCAGAATTATGCAGAACTTGCAAAAGTTACTCTTGCACAGGTCATTGTGTTCAATCGAAGACGAGCTGGAGAAGTCTCAAAGATGCATCTCAGAGGTTTCCAGCAGAGAGATGACTCCAAGCTCCATGAAGATGTTGCTGCTGGGTTGTCCCATGTTGAAAAAAAGCTATGTAGCTATTTCAGTCGTGTTGAAATAATTGGGAAAAGAGGTCGAAAAGTTGCGGTTCTCCTTTCTCCAGATGTGGTGGATGCTCTGACTCTGCTGATCAGCAAAAGAGAGCAATGTGGAGTTTGCTCCACAAACATCTTTCTTTTTGCCCGACCAAGATCTCAAAGTCACTACAGGGGCCAAGACTGTTTGCGTGTTTATGGAAGCCAATGTGGGGCAAAGCATCCCGAGTTCCTCAGGTCCACACAACTCAGGAAGCATGTTGCCACATTGTCACAAGTCCTCAACCTCAAAAATAATGAAATTGACCAGGTGGCTGACTTCTTAGGACATGACATCCGTGTCCACAGAGAATTTTATCGCTTACCTGTGCCAACAACACAACTGGCAAAGATTTCTAAGCTCCTTTTGTCCATGGAGAAAGGACATGTATCCACCCTGCAAGGGAAATCCCTTGATGACATCGAAATTGAAGGTTATTGATTTTTTTTTTTTGTAATCTGATTTACATTAATCCAATGTTGATGATGTCTGACATCATCAACATTTGTTAAATTGATGGATTTCAATAAATTATTATTATTGGAAGATATTACATTCTCTAGGTTAGAAAATTCTAAATATAAAACGTGTTTTGGTAGTGCTTAGATATAATTTTATGTATGACATTGATTTGTATCCTAATGATGCTTTTCAGATGAAATAGAACTAAGTGAGGATGAAGAAAAGGAAGATTTAAGTGACTCAGATGATGGCAATTCTGTGGAACCTGAGGAACCCATGGAACATGAGAAACCTGTAGAACCTGGAACCCATGGAACATGAGAAACCTGTAGAACCTGTGGAACCCGAGCAAAGCAAGAATATGGAGGATTTGTGTATGTTACATGAATCTAAAAGTGTTATGTTTTGTCCACCTATTTTATTGTTGTTGTTTTTTTTTTTGTTTGTTTTTTTAACTTTTGTCATTTGTCTTAGTGGGAGCAGTGTCATCAACCGCAGAGGAAACTATCCCTCCTTTTGAAGGCAAGTCATGTTTCCTTATGGGCCTGTGTTTTGATCCTAGCTATATTTAGTGAAAGCATAATTTTACTGCAGCAACCATATTAACCATAAGCACTATATGCCATTTGCTTGAGGCATGTGTCAAACTAGTAAAGAGTGTTATGACTGGCATAACAAAAGACAGGAAGACATAGAGTTCAACAATAAATAAACTCTTTCTTGAGCACAAGCATGAAATAAAACTAAACCAAAGCAACTTCTTTATTGTCCACAGAAAATATGCTTTTGGGAGATTGCTTTTGGTTCTGCTTGGACATTTCTCATTGTCCTTCACTCAATTTCTAGTAATTTCACATTTTTGAAGCATATATTCCAAATTTTTGTCCACTTTCTCAGTTAATTGATTGCAGACAAAGTTACAAACATGCTTGTCCAGCAGCCATCTTGATGCAACTGGCCACTAATAATGTCTCCTATACATAGTTTATGACCCCTCTATACTGTCTATATAGAATGTAGTTAAGGTTATTACAAATTTTGAGAGCCTTTTTCATTGATCGCTATCATGAAGCGATTACATCTTTATTACTTTACATTGTCTGGATTCATGTGGCTGCAGTTCGTTCTCACAAAATTTACTTTCATGATTGAACAATATTTTGTAGTGAGGAAGTCATCCTGTGTAAAGGTAGCAGGTTTTTAATTTTCTGTTCGAAAAAACTGTTTTGATAATTTTTTTCTTTACTATTTTTCTTCAGAGACCTCCTCTGGTTCACCCAGAAGACAACCAAAAACCATGGTCAAGTGCTGAGGTTTCTGCTGTTATGAGGCATTTTAAAGTTCACATAGGTAAAGGTAAACTTGCCACTAAAAATGAGTGCAATCACTGCAAGTTGGTGGAAGGTCCTGTACTGGCTCAAAGAACAGCACAAAATATCAGGGACTTTGTGAGAAACCGTGGAATAACTGCTAAGAGGCAGGCACAAAAAGGTTCTAAATCGTTCGTGAAGCAATATTTGTTCAGAATTGTTCTGTTTTGTTTATGCAATTAAAACAGTTTTTTTATTGCCTATCAAAAAATATCTAACGTTTTGTGACTTAGAGGGTATTGAAATGTAGTTGTGTTGATAGGCAGAATTTTTATATTCTAATGGTCAGGAATTTTTTCTGTTGTCCAACATAAAAATGATTGGAAAAGTAGGCATAATTTTAATTTAACATTGTTGTACTTATTTATTTATATTCAAAATACTTGGCAACACTCTACACCCTAAAACTCTTATTTTACTTTTCTGTACATTTTGTTGAGGCACTTAAATTAGTATTTCCTTTGTTCATTTTAATTTCAGGCTTACTTTTATTTTTTAAAGAAAAATAATTGAATTATTTGGCCATATTTACCTAATAAAAATATGTTCTGTTAATGCTTTGTGCTGTCAGGTTGTGTATTTATGCTAATTAGCAGGTTTTTAAATATGACGTAGTTGTCCCTTTAAAGTCCTCACAACACTTTGTTTTGTTCTCATAAACCATATTTTGCTGATGTCCATAAAGCCTTGGGGTCAGGTTGCTGTAAAAAATGTTGTATAGGTGCTATCTGAAACCTAAAGTGAGCTAAATTTTTTTCAGATTTTTTGCAGCGTTTAAAGCCACCTCCCATTGCTCTAGCTACTCGGGAAAGGGTAGTCCATCTAAACCACCTTCGGACCTGTTTGGCGAAAATGTCTGGCTACACCACATATACCAACATGTGTGTGTGTGTGTGTGTGTGTGTGTGTGTGTGTGTGGGTGTGTGTGTGTGTGTGTGCGTGTGGGG